AGGTGGGAGAGATGGCTCAGAGGTTAAGAGCACGGGCTGCTCTTCCAGAGGTTCTGAGTTCAATTCCCAGCACCCACATGGTGGCTCACAACCATCTGTAATGAGATCTGGTGCCCTCTTCTGGTATGCAGGCATACATGCAGGCAGAACACTGTATACATAATAAATAAATAAATCCTTTAAAAAAAAAAAAAGAAAGATAAGACCATGATAAATGAAGACCATATGAGAATAGGAAGAAGCAAAGTGCTAGAGAGGCCCACAGAAATCCACAAAGATACCCCCACAATAGACTACTGGCAATGGTCGAGAGACAGTCCGAAATGACCTACTCTGGTGATAGGATGGCCAGACACCCTAATTGTTGTGCTAGAAACCCCAACCAATGACTGAAGGAACCAGATGCAAAGATCCACGGCCAGGCCCCAGGTGGAGCTTCAGGAGTCCAACTGGCAAGAAAGAGGAGGGTTTGTATGAGCAAGAACTGTTGAGACCAAGGTTGGATAAAGCACAGGGACAAATAGCCAAACGAATGGAAACACATGAATTATGAACCAATAGCTGAGGAGCCCCCAACTGGATCAGGCCCTCTGGATAAGTGAGACAGTTGATTAGCTTGATCTGTTTGGGAGGCATCCAGGCAGTGGTACCGGGTCCTGTGCTCATTGCATGAGTTGGCTGTTTGAAACCTGGAGCTTATGCAGGGACGCTTGGCTCAGTCTGGAAGGAGGGGACTGGACCTGCCTGGACTGAATCTACCAGGTTGATCTCAGTCCTCAGGGGAATCTTTGCCCTGGAGGAGATGGGAATGGGGGGTGGGCTGGAGGGGGGGAAGGCAGGGAGGGAGGTGGGAGGGGATATAACAAGGGAATCCATGACTGATATGTAAAATTAAATTATAAAATAAATAAATTTTAAAAAAGAAAGATAAGCCATTACCTCCCCACTCCCTGCTCTTCTTATTCAGTGCTTCCAAAACTCTCACTAGACATCTCGTGTGCTTTCTTACCTATGTTTGGTAGCTCACAGCTTCAGTTTTGTGTTAAATATGGATATATTTATTCCATACTGTGAGAACATTCTTAGTTTTCTTCACTACTTCAAATTTATGTCCAAGCTTTCCTGTGTTGATTGTATACTTCATTTCCAGAATTTCTATCCGGTCCCTTTTCAAGTTGACCTGTTCTGTGGCTGTTACATTTTTCTGTGTCTTTCTGAACTCAGCAGACACAGAAAGACTTACTTTAAAGTTTCCACCTGTATCAGGCAGGGTTCTCCAGAGGAGCAGAACTTATAGAAGGAGTCTCTCTAGAGAGAGAGGAGGGGGATTTTTTAGAATGATTTGCAGGTTGCCGTCTAGCTAACCCAACATGGCTGGCTGTGAATGGAAGGTTCAAGAATCCAGCAGTTGTTTAGTCCACAAGGTTGGATGTCTCAGCTGGTCTCCAGGACATACCAGAATCTCGAAGAAGTAGGCTCTAACCCCAGTGAAGAAACGGACATGCTAGCAGTGCACAGACGAGCAGGCCAAGAGCAAAAGCTTCCTCTTTTCCGTGTCCTTCTATAAGCTTCCAATAGAAGAGGTGATGGTCAGATTAGATCGGGATTAGAGGTGTGTCTTCCTACCTCAAAACTTCAGATCAAAAGTGGATCTTTCTACTCCAAATTAAGCAAAAACCCCTCACAGGTGTGCCCTCCATTTTGGAGTTTTAGTTCCAGATGTAGTCAAGTTGACAACCAAGAATATCCATTACACCATTTATTTTATTATTCTTAATTCTTAGATCAGGTCTGTTACAGATCTTGAATGCCACCCAAAGGCCCACTTGCTGAGAATGCTGTGCCCAGCCCAGGGTGCCAATGAGAGGTAGGTGGTAGAGCCTTGAAGAAGTAGGGTCCAAAGGGAGGACACTAGGCCACTGGGAGCATGCACTAACCTTTCATGCCCCCTCTCTTTTTGCTCCCTTAACACCATGAAACAAGCAGCTTCTTCGTTTGAAACGCTGAATCAAACGAAGCCTTGTCTCTTTGTAAGTCGGTTATCCCAATAGTTTGTTACAGCAACAGAACACTGACTCACACAGACTCCCGTGCTTTTCCATCTGCTGTACTATCCTCATGGTGGTTTGTTTCTTCATGTGGTTTCTAAGTTTCAGCAAGTACATCCTCATCAGAGGTTGTTTTTAGCCAAGACTCGGGATGCCCCGTCTTGTTGAAGTATAACTCCGAGGCAGGTTTGTCTTTGCCCTCAGCGGAGTTCTGAGGGTTATGCTGGTTTTCCATCCCTTGACTTTGTCATAGTGCATCATACACATAATGACTCTGAACGGGCCGCCTAGCAGCATGTGGTCCTGGCCTGTGTTCCAGGTGTTTTCCAGGTGAGTATTGCCACGAAACAGTAAGTTAATCTGCTGCTTTTGCGGGCCATGGAAGAGTTTCTTTAGTTCATAAATTATAGATATGATAGTGTTTCATTGTCTTATTTTTTTGTGTGTAGCTCACTCTAGCTGCTCATACTCATGGTATCCATGAGTTGGATTCTCCTCTCAGTATTGCTGTTAGCATTCCAGCCTCAAGGCCTGAATCTGCTTTGGAAACTCTCAGGAGCTGCCTGGGCTCCAGCTCATACTTTGTTTCCTCTGATTCTGATACCTGAGCCTGCTCTTTCCTGCCTGCCTGCCTTTTTTCCTTTCTGCCTTTCCATTTTCTTTCTCCACTTCCCTCTCCTCCTATTCCTCCTCCTCCTCACACCCTTCTTATAGCAGCTATGAACTAATGTTTTTGTTTCTCAATTTTATCTAGGATTCTGTCTGTTTGGAACAAAAAGGACAAGTACTCCAAATCAGCTAAGTCTGCTATACATGCTGATATTAGGGGACTCTGGGTACAACAATATTAAATGTTATTTTAAAAACAATAAGTGTGCTCACAGCATTGATGCCTGCTATATACACTACTAAGCTAATGATAGGTACTTAATAATATCTAGCTTTTATTAAGCGCTGTTTTCTAAGAATTGTTCTACCTTTTTATGCCTTTATAATAACTATATAAGCTTGGTACTTTATCAGTCTGTATTATTATTTAATAGATGAGCACACCATGACAGGGGTATATTAAGTATTAAGATTTTAAATATAGGAATCCTGGCACCAAAGCTTTTCTGTTTTATTGAGGTATACTTTAAACATAATGAAATTAGAGGCAGCAAGATGGCTCAGCAAGCAAGTGTGCTTGTAGCCAAACCTGACTACCCGAGCTGAACCCCTGGGAGCCTCAATGTGGAAGGGGCACTGGCTCCTTAAAGTTGTCCTCTGACCTCTACACTCAATGCCATGGTACACCCCCCCCCCGCACACACACAAATAAATAAATGTTTAAGAAATTAAGTAAATAAAGTTAACTAACTTCCATGTCACATTTGATTAATTTTTATAAATGTGTGCAGTCAGGTGACCCCCTACTATATATAGCATGACATCTATTGGAACGTTTTCATCTAAGACATTCTCTTGGGTCCCTTTATTGTTTCTGGCAAATACTGAGCTGTTTTCACATCTGTATTTTGCCTTCCCTAAACATGAATGGAATCACGCCGTTTAGTGACCGTCTTCTCTCGCTTAACATAGTGCTCCTAAGAGTCATTCACTGTGTTACAAGTGTTAGTGGTTTGTCACTGAATAGTTGAGTAGCATCTCATCACCTAGATAAGCCACCTTGTGCTCGTTCATCTCACTAGATGATGTTTTCATTTGCTTCCTGTTTGGGACTCTCACAAGTCAAAGTATTAGGAATATTCACATATAACATGTTAGAAACTTTTTTTCATTTCTTTTGGGTAACTATCAAAAGGAAGGAGTTAAAAGAATAAATGATAATTGTATGCTTAATGTTTAGAAAATTGCCAAATGGTTTTCTATAGCGACTAGAGAGACTTGTTTTGGCTCACTGATTTAGAGGTTTCGGTTTGTGGTCACTTGGGCCTTTGGTGGCACAGCACAACATGATGGGAACGTGGCAGAGGAAGCCTGGTCATGTAATAGTCAGTAGGAAGCAAAGGAAGAGGAAAGGGCTCCAGTACCTTGAAGGGTGCACCCTGAATGACCTTGTCACCACACTAGAGGCAGTGGGACCTGGGAGAATGGAACCAATAAATGAGGTGGACTGAATTCTCATGCAGTAGCCAACTTTATTCAGAGCATCAGGCAGTTTATACTCTGAAGGTTAAGAAGAGTCACATGAGTAAAGTGTACAACCACAAGGATAACGCTCACGTGGCTGGCAAGCTGCACATGGTGGACAAGCTGCACATGTCAAAAACGTGTTTCCATAGAGGCATATAAACAAATAACAACAGCCAGTTGTAATGAATAATCTGAAGTAAACTCACTCCTATCCACTACACCTGGGAGGAGCATGAAAACACATTGCAAGAACAAGTCTGTGTTTTAGAGAAACTGGAGGTCACAAGTCTCTTGTCTTGTTTTCTTGGAGTTTTTTCACAAGTACTCAGAATTATCCTTGCACAGTCCATTTTTGGATCATTTTCCAACATGACCCCAGTTACTTCTGTCAGACCCTACCTCCTAAATGTCCTACCATTTTCTAGTAGCATCACTGGCTGAGGGCCACACCTCAAACACCTGGGCTTTTGGGGGGAATATTCCAGATCTAAACAATAGCAATTTCTCACTAGCAATGTGAGTGCTCCTGGTATTGTTAGTCACATTAAATCTTAGTCACTCTAGTGGGCATATTTTTATATCTTATTAGGCTTCAATATGCAGGTCTCTAATGATTAATGGCATGACCGTCTTTTCGGGTGTTTTTTTTTTTTTTTTTTTTTTTTTTTTGGTTTTTCGAGACAGGGTTTCTCTGTGTAGCTTTGCGCCTTTCCTGGAGCTCACTTGGTAGCCCAGGCTGGCCTCGAACTCACAGAGATCCGCCTGCCTCTGCCTCCCGAGTGCTGGGATTAAAGGCGTGCGCCACCAACGCCCGGCCCTCGGGTGTTTTTTTTTTGCTATCTGTAACTCATCTTTGCTAGTCTGCTAAAAATCTTTTGGTCATGTGAGGATTATCTCTGACCTATTGAATTAAAGTAATTCTTTATATATTCTGAACATGTTTCTTTGCTGAAACAGGGTTTGCAAATATTTTCTCCTGTCTGCACAGAGTCTGTGCTTGTAAACGCTCCCTGTATCACCTCTCAATGCAAACTGGAATGATTGAGAAACTTGGATGGCCAGTGGTTCACTCCTACCAGCCATTGTGGGGCTTACAGTGATGAAAAGATTGGGCAACCCTGCTGAAACTTTTTGTCCAAACATCCAATAACCACATTTTTACTAAATGAATCTCTTTAATTCTGATACAGACTGCACAGTCCTCTCAGATGTGAAGAATCAAGATTGCTGATATGAATATCTCTGAACTCTGTCTTTACCTTGACTGAAAACAACTAGAAGCTTCCCAGCTATATATAAACACCGCCCTAGGCAACTTGTCTCGGGGCATTCTGTGTTCACGAAACCGGGGGATCCCTTGCGGAGGAAGAGCATCTCCAGAAGTTAGGGTCAGAAATGAGTGGATCTTGTAAAAGCACTTCTCCCAAAAGGATTATCCACTTTGCCAATGGAGACACCATGGAGGAATACAGCACAGAAGAAGATGAAGAAAAGAAGGAACAGAGCTCAGCACGTGACTCTGTAAGCTCACCATATCAGTATCAGTGGGAGGAGGGGGATGAAGGAGAGATTGATCCAGAGAAATGATATAGAAAATACGGCTTTACATTAAGCTCCTTGGTTGTTTTATAGATCACATATAGGCAACAGACAGCCATTAGTTAGTTAGTTCTCTCATTGATAAGAGAGAAAATTAAACATTCATAGTACATTTTTGAAATCTCTCCATAAGAATCTCCAGTCACTACTCCTGATGTCAATTGTTTTTAAAATTTCTCATCAGTTATTTCTTTGTTGGGGTTGAAAGCACACGTGTCATGGTATACATGTGGAGGCCAGTAGACAACGCATGTAGGGTCAGTTGTTCCATTACGTGGGGCCTGGGGGCTGAACTCAGGCTGGCAGGCTTGGCAGCAGATGCCTTTGCCCACTTGTTATTAATTATCCTACGTTGATTTTTCTCTACTTTTCAGTCTAAGTCTTCATGGGGAGCATACATCTGGTTTTGGGCAGGTCGAGTGGGAAGCAATTCAATTTCTAGTAAGTACTGCTAAGGCTTGGTTTGGGTCTTCCTCCCTCCACTCCTTCCTTCCTGTCATCTGTCTGTCTGTCTGTCTGCCTGCCTGTCCTAACTATGTATTAATTGATTCTCCAAGACAGATGAGACTTCCCGCTGTTCCATCAACTCCCCAGGATTCAGAAATGATAATCCGGTCATGTCTAAGTCCACGTGTTAACTATCCCAAAGACGTGGAGATCCTTCTATCTGCCTTCTGCTTTTCTTCCTACCAGTGGACTGTGATTAGGATGGGATCGGCTCACCAATGTCACTCCAGCATCACTGCCTTTCATCATGGTGGACAATGTGTATTCTTTGAAGGGTCACTCCCTCTGACCATTTCACTCCATTATTATGGGTAACTTGAAGACTGACTTACTGGCTGTTGCCACGGCACTCAAGTCAATCAGACTCTCACACTCTCTTCAGGTCTACCTGTGTGTGAGTTTCCTGAGTCACCCTGTCGTCCTTAGTCCCTGAGCTGTTCCTGTCCTGGCTACTGTGAACCCGAATAACAGTTCTAGGCCCGTTTGCTGATCTGTATTGTTCACTGAAGACTGAAACGCACGAGAACAGAGATTGCTAGCACATCTTTTTCTTACCTTGACCCAAATTTTCTTCTTTAAAAGTTCCTGCCATTACTCTAGTTATCACTCCCCGAGCTGTGCAAAACCAGCCCACATTCTTTCATAGGTCAAAGGTGCAAATAATTGAAGCCAATAGTCGATCCTTCCTGAGTTTATTCTTCATCTGGACAAACTTCAGTTTTTTTGTTTGTTTGTTTGTTTTAAAAGAATATGGAATGGCACAGTGCTAAGTTCTCCCATCACAGTTACTCTGATAAACATGAGCTTTACTGGCCCCTCCTGGGGAAATAAGGAATGTCCTATATGCTTATTTATAGCACATAGAATCTTACTTTGTTTTATTTTCATTTATTTTCTTTTGAACACAATTGGCAAATGTATAATGACTCATTTCCTTCTAATGTGCCTGCTTGTGAATGTGATAGTGAGAAAAATTACTTCTTACTTTAGAATTCTGAGAAAATATAAAATGTGGCTCTTGCAAACTCATCTTTACTCATCTATTAAAAAAGCATGACTGACTGACTGCTGCATGCCCTGCACCGACTGGACTCTGAGACACGAAGACAAATGATGTTTTCATGGGATTCGATTTTCAGTGAATAATATAGACTAGTAAATGTGCCCAGAATTGTAATTTGTGCTCACAGTTGTCAGGACAGGAACAAATTGGGGACTAGGGACAGGGAGACTCAGGAAAAGTAACAAAGAGAAGACCCCAAGAGAGTCACGAAAGTCTGACTAGCTGAGGCAAGTTTGGGGACCATTGTTATGGTCCCCATTAGAACAGGTTAACATGATTCAGAAGGAGGGAACTGCCCTGGCTTTAGGTTCCTGCCCCAGGCCTAGGTCAGGTAAAAGACACAAAACTCTACACATGAGAGCATGGAGGAAAAGTCCACAGTGGGTTTCTTGTGGGGCTTTGGCTTAAGATGATACAAATTTCCTGGGCATGGCGTTCCATGCCTGTGGTCCTGGCTATTCCAGAGGCCCAGTGTCATATGGCAGGCCATTTGCAAAGCGTCAGTCATGGACTCAGTTTCTCCAAGTGGTTGTTCTTCATTTCAGCTTGTGAATTCCTTGGTGAAAGATTTGCTGCATTCTTTGGCCTCACTGAACCCAAATACCAGTATGTGCTGAATGAGTATCACAGAATGCAAAATAAGGTAGGTAAAGTCCTGCTGGGGGTGCCAAGGGCTCTGAGATGGGAAGGGTGTTTTACTAGTTAGATTTCTGCTTGCTCTGATTGAACACTAGCAGAAGCAACTTAAAGAAGGTTGACTCACAGGTTGACAGACTCACAGTAGCAGGGAAGGCTTGGTGGCCAGCGGCTCTATAGCAGTAGCGGTATGAGGCTGTTTCTTTACATCTAGGTGGATCAGGAAATAGAGAAGGAATAGGAAGCTAGCTGATCCTCCAGCAACCCGCTTCCTCTAGCGAGCCCTTTCATCCCAAAATGTCCACAATCTCCGGAAACAGCGTTACCAGCTGCAGACCCAGTATTCAAATATGTGGTCCGAGAGGGGGTATCCAAATGGCGGGAGTATGGAAGAATGTTTTCCCACCTGGTAATCAAGCCATGCAATTGCACTGAGCTCCCGTGGCCAGACTAGCTCACATTTCCGATGCCTCTTACCATACAACACTCCTTAGTATTTGCCTCATTCCCATGAAATCAGGGTTTCAGAAGTTGAATAGCAAAAAAGTTGGGTGTGAAGCTTGATATTGCCTAAAAGACAAAGCTTCTTACATGAGAGTCTCTGCGAGAGGGAGTTCAGAGATGCATGGCTATCCCTGAAACGTTTCCTCCTTTCTCTCCAACCAGGAAGGTGATAAGGAAAGTGATGGGAAGGAATCAAAGGCCCAGGAAGCTGAGGTTCCTGATGAAAAGTGTCACTTGGGAGCTGGTGGCCAAGAGTATGGGGCCATTGCTTCCAGAGAAGGGCTGGAGGCAGATACCAGCTCATGATGGACAACAGAAGCTACCCCAGCATTCTTATTGGTTACCATGGTAGCCGCACAATAGAAAGTACTTCTGAGCTTCATCTGGTTCTAAGCTCATGAATGCATTCTCAGGAATTCAAGAGTTACGTGTAACAAGGAAAGCAATGTTAGACATTTTTCACAATATGAATTTTTAATTAGAAACACCTACCCTGACATCATCCCAGTAATACAAGTTCTTTCAGCACTGACTTATTTGCACAACATTAAGTCTTTTATAGAACTTTGGGCCTGGAGGTATGGGCTGACACTTTTTTTTTATGATGGTGGTAGGGTCCAGTAAAACAAAACAAAACAGAAATTTAAATTTAACCTATAAATTCCCCTTCTCATTTCCTTCCACACAGCCATCTGAATTAGCTGGGGCTTATTTTACAACTGGCAGCTTCATCATTATGTGACCTTTTTAAAGATCTTTATCAATGTCTTTGAGAGTTCCATTGGAAAATCAATAATTGCTAGAAACAGTGTGTGTCTTAGCTTCCTCCGTGTTGCTGTGACAAAGTCCTTTGACAGAAGCAGCTTAGGGGTGACGGTGTTTATTTTAGCTCACAGTTCCAGGTTACAGTCCATCAGGTTACAGGTCACAGCAGCAGGCGCTTGAGAGAACTGGTCTCGTGAAGTCCACAGTAGGACAAGGGCAATGAATGCATGAACACCAATGCTCAGTTAGCTCTGCCCTTTCCATCAGTCCAGGAACCAGCCCTTGGAAATGGCGGCACCCACCTTGAGGGTAGGTCTCCCCACCTTAATTAGGTCAGTTAAGAGCATCTTTTACAGACATGCCCACTGTCCAATGACAACCTAATCTAGAATTCCTCATAGAGACTCCCTTCCCAGGTGGCTCTAGATTGCACCAAGCCAACAATTAAAACTAGCCACAATATTTTAAACAGATTAAAAAAAAATTGTCATCAATGAATTCTCAAAAGTTGGAAGGAGAGGCTAGGTATGTTAAGCAGTAGAGACTTGCCTAGAACAGGCCTTGAGTTCATTTCTTAGCAGAACAAGAAACCAAACCTCAAATCCTTAAAGATCAAACATGGTCAAGTGGTGATGGCACACACCTTTAGTCCCAGCACTCAGGAGGCAGAGGCAGGCAGATCTCTGAGTTAAGGCTAACCTGGTCTACAGGGTGAATTCTAGGACAGCCAAGGCTATACAGAGAAACCCTGTCTCAAAATAAATAAATAATCTTAAAACAAACAAACATGGAAATTCCAGTGGTCCCGAGTTTAATTTTCCCCCTTCAATTAGCTAGCTATGTGATTTTTAGCTGTCTAGATGTATGATCTGCAGTCTCCTTCTTTGGAAAATACCCATGGCATTCATGTCCTTGTGGGTTATTGTTAAGCATAATGAGATAATACATGTGAAAACACTTTGAAACTATAAATATGTGTTGTTCACAATTAATGGCTACTATGGATAGTCACATTGTCCATAGCCACTGCTGTGGGATGGTCTGTATGTCAAATGCTCTGATTGGTCAATAAATAAAACACTGATTGGCCAGTGGCCAGGCAGGAAGTATAGGCGGGACTAACAGAGAGGAGAACTGAGAGAAAGGAAGGCAGAAGCAGTCACTGCCAGCCGCCGTCATGACAAGGAGCATGTGAAGATGCCGGAAAGCCACGAGCCATGTGGCAAGGTATAGATTTATGGAAATGGATTAATTTAAGCTATAAGAACAGTTAGCAAGAAGCCTGCCACGGCCATACAGTTTGTAAGCAATATAAGTCTCTGTGTTTACTTGGTTGGGTCTGAACGGCTGTGGGACTGGCGGGTGACAGAGATTTGTCCTGACTGTGGCCAGGCAGGAAAACTCTAGTTATAAGCCACCCCAACATCCATGCCTTCTGGGACTCATGCCCTTAGATACTCTACATGTAACCTTGTGACTGGCTTTGGCCAATGAAATAGTAGCAAATATGATGTAAGCAGAAGCTCACAAGGCAGTTGTACATTAGGGCTTGTCCTCTTGGAAAGCTCCGTGTTGTTAAGAAGCTTTGGCTAAAGTTAGGAGTCACGAGAAGCCATGTGAAGAGAGGTCTCCAAGAATATGTAGGAATAAAATGAAACATTGACCATTTTGCTGATCCTAGCTCCAACCAAGCTCCCAGCCAGATGTAGCCACATAAATGACTTCCTGCTCTTACATGGAGTAAATGAAGCACACAACAGGATGTGGGTCACTCACAGAATCATGAGACACATAGACATAATTTGATTAAAATAAGAGCTCTCAGAGAATCGGGGAGGTGGAATTGAATTGATATGAAATCAAGGGCAGAGTGGGAGTGGACTGTGTAGTTAGCTGAGTATACCAGGGTAAGATAACTCACCAACAGACCAGTCCAAAGTCTCAGTGACTGAAGTGAGTGTTTGCTTCCTTTTACTGGGGACTCCCTTATCAGTGTGGGTGCTTACAGTGCCAGTCCCCATGTGCCGGCCCGGTGTTGTGTGCTTCCCTGATCTTTTGATTCCTCCCTGCCGTGATGCTCTCAGGGCTGCCGAAAGAGAAGCATGCTGGAGAATTAAGCGCGGGCAATGGATGTCTCCATGGAGAATGAATTCTGACTCCTCTGCTTATGGTTCTTCCACTACAGCACATCATCACAGGGATACAATTCCCTGGATGTGGGGTGTGATCCCTGAAAACACTCAGAAGGGAAGCACTCTCTTCTTGGTGGCACAGAAGATGGGTGAAAGGTCAATGAGTTAACACGAGCCTGGTTTATTTCTGCTTTGCCGCCTCTGTGACCCATCCCCCCCCCCCATGTAAGTCACTTAACGTCGACGTTCTTGTGTCTCAAACGGATTTGCTGTGGGAAGCAAATTCAACTTGAACTAGCTTATAAAACAAAATAAGGTTATTTTTGGGAGGGTAATAAGGTCAGATAAACCTCAACAGTGTCTAGAACAGTCTGATAAGAAACTACCAAAATCGGTGCCTTCCCTTTCTCATCTGCACAGCAGGCAGAACATTCAGTAACATTCCTAACTCCTCTGCTCAGTGACTGGTGTTCTGGACCTCAGTCCCAACTCCAAACAGACAGGAAACAGGTTCTGAGTAGCCTGCCTTTGTCCTATGTCAATCCCTAGTTCAGTTCCTGTGGCCCACAAGGTAGAGACACAAATGGTCTAAGGGCCTTTTTCTCGATGAAGGTGATTCTTAGGAAAGGGGGACTAAAAATGATCTCAGCAGATAACGCTGTGGATGTTTTATGTGAAAATCGAGGAAAACCACTTAGCCATAATTAGGCACTAAAGTCACTGTGTGTCAATTATACTTTTAAACATTTGTGATGTGCCAAGTTAACTGGACTGGGTCCCAATTAAAGACTTTCAGTGAAACCAACACTCAAATACAGTGTGGGGTCTGGGGCATTGTTTAATTCCATCCAAGGCCTGAATGGAATAGAAAGTCCAGGATGGAGGATTTCCTCCTTTCTGCTGCCTTCCTGCGCAAGTTAAATGCCTTGTTTCTTCTTTTCTTCTAGTGCTCTTGGCCTGGGGCTTAGGTCACTGCTTACATCATCCTACCCCATTCTCAGCCCTTGGACCAGGACTTAGGGTACGGCTTGCCCCGCCCACCCCATTTTCAGGCTTTTGAATTCCAATTGATTTGTTCTACTACCAACTTTTCTGAATTCTTAGGATGCAGGAGGCAGACTGGGGGGTTTCTTGGCTTCTGTAATCAAGTGAGCCTTTTCTAATAATAGCTATCCAATTCCCCATAATGTCTACCTACCTATCATCCATACATCCTATTGGTTCCATTTCACTGGAGAAACTGATTAAAAGACATCAAGTAAGAAGCCTTGTTTCATGGGTTTGCATGGTTTGTCTTAATTCTTTATTTGACATGCTCTGTTGCCTGAGTTTCAAGGTAAAGGAAATCTGAAGATTCTATGACACAGCACAAGAGCCCACATCTCACAGCTAAGCATCAACTACAAAAGACTCAGGTATCATGTCAAAGCAAAAATCTACACTTGATTTACTTGCTCTTTTCTTTCAGAATAAGCTCTAGTGATTTTTTTAAACCTTTCTAATAAAACTATCCACTTACCAAATAAATACTTGTCAATGATTCTAGGGAACTAGGCTGTGGTGGTTTGAATGAGAAATGCCCCTATAGGATCATATGTTTGAATGCTTGGCTCCCAGTTGGTGGAACTGTTTGGGAAGGATTAGGAGGTGTGGCCTTATTGGAGGAGGTGTGTCAATGGGGGCAATTTTTGAGGCTTAAAATGCCTACTCCATTCCCAGTGCATGCACTTTCTCCCTCTCCTGTGGTGATATTGTGTTCCCCTATATATCGTGCACCCTAATAAATATATCTGGGGCCAGAGAACAGAACAGCCACTAGATATAGAGGCCAGAAAATGGTGGCACACACGCCTTTAATCCTAGCATTCCAGAGGCAGAGATCCGTCTGGTGAGGTGAGGTGGCTGTGGTTTGTTCTGCTTCCCTGATCTTCCAGCATTGACCCCAGTACCTGCCTGGCTCCAGGTTTGTTTTTATTAAGAAGAACTTTTAAGATTCGTGCTACACTCTCCCTCCCCACCGCACCCCAATCCAGTTGCTGGGTTGTGAGGAGACTCAGGCAGTGCAGAGGACTCAATGCATTCTCCCCAGACCCCCAAATTCATATGTCACAATCTCAATGTGACTGTGTTAGAGGTGGGGCCCTGGGGAGTGTTAGGTCCTTACATCAGATCCCTCTTGAAGGATATATTTGTGCCTGTGTAAGAGGCCAGAGGGAGCCAGTTATATATCTACCATGTGAGAAGACAGCTTTTACAACTCTGAAGATGGTTGTTCCAAACTCTGACTATGCTGACACTTAGAGATTTCTGGTTCGCAGACTATGAGAAGTAAACTTCTGGTCTTTACAAACCATCTACCCTATGGCATTTGTGTAGCAGCCTGAATGGAGCAAGGCTATGAAGACACCCATGAACTCCTAAGCCAAGACCTCCAAGCTAAACCTCTCCTGAATTCCTGACTTACAGAACATGAAATTAGAAATATTTGTTGTTTTAA